GTCAACAGCCTTGCGGGCCTGCTCCTTGTCTGCGAATCGGTCCTCCAGGGCCTGCAGAAGTTTGTCCACCCCAAGCCCAAAAGCCCAGTCCTCCATAGATTGCTGCAGACTGCTGGAGGTTGAGGTGGCCCACTTCAAAGCGGGTACCTCCAGCAGTCCCAGAACAGTCGCGACCTTGGTCTGTTCTGCACAGACAAAGCCCCTCAAGTAGGCTTTGGTCCCAGCAGCCCGGTCCCCAACATCAGTCTTGGGGTCATCACCCCTGAACTTGTTGGGTGTAGGGATCTTGGGACCTCTTTGATCCCCTGCAGTAACAGCAGCATAGGTGGCCTTGCCTGGGGTCTTTTGGAAATGGGATGGTGTCTGGGAAGAATGCACCGAACCATGGGGAGATGAAGGAGGGGTAGAAGAAGGTGAAGGTTTGGGTTTAATCAGAGGGAGCTGAGGGGCAATCAGCTTGGCGGCTGATAGCTGAGCAGTCAAGTTCTGAATCGCATCTTGAATCTTGGACTATTGAGATGCCAAGTTGTTAACCCGACGCTCCAAACGAACAAAACGATCATCCCAGTTTGTGAAATAGGAACTCGTGATCTTGTGCTCCAGCATGATCATCTCTGCCAGGTGTTTAGTCACCTGTGCACAGCGGTCATCTGAGAGCACCTTGTCCAGCTGCTGCAACAGATAGTCCCTTCTGAAATTATCTGTTGCAGCCTCTAGCTCAGCTGCCTCCTGACGTTCCAATTCTGCAAGACGGTCCTGTTGCCGCCGCAGCTGTTCTTGCAGCTCCTTCTTTTCCTGCTGAGTAGCAATCAGAGGTGGAGGAGGAGTGGAGGCCCATGGTCAGACATTTTTCCTTTTTCAAAATAAAATCAAAAATAAACAGCAACCTGAGTATGCAGCGAGATTCAGATTCCTTCAGACACCCTCGAATCGCTGCAAAACTCAGACACTGGAATAGGTGAGTGTATAGGCAATCACCGGTTTGGGTTGGAAGGGTGTCTCTGGGGTCAGGTGTCAGACAGACTGTAAGTCCAACAAAATCATGCACACAATTTCCTTTTACTGACCCTGCACCTCTGGAGTTAGTAGAGTCACTCCACTACTCTTCCAGAGACCCACTAGGTTTCCAGTACCCACTAGAAAACAAGTGTAATCAGTGAGAATAGAATGTGGTTAGTACAGACAAGAGAGGTCAACCAAACCAAGCGATTCAGACAGATACCCTGTAACCTAGCTCGGACTCCAATTTTGACCCTGATGACTCTGGCGGCCATACCCTGGGGTATGGCGAAGTACAGTATTCACTGTATCCAATGAAATACTGTAAATCCAATCATGCGATTCTGCAGTATTGCCTATTTTCTATTTGCGATTCACTGGGGACTGACAGAATGGGATTCTGACGGACAGAATTGAAGTTGTGACTGACCCTAGTTAGCACAGGCTATAAATAGACTCCGCGCAAAACTGCAATTCACAGTATCACTACTTTTCCAGTGCAGAACTCACAATTTGAACATCCCAGATCAATCGCAAGGCAGTACAGCAGTCACAAAACAATTTTGGATCAGAAAGAGTCAACAGAGGGTTAGAAATGAGCAGAGAGAGGTAGGGGAGAGATGGCTATGGCTGTCATGCAGTCTGCGATTTTCACATCCAGTCACTGACAAACAGATAAACCATTATACTTGACTAATCTAATCCTATCTGGATCGCTATGCAGGTAGGTGCATGGAACGGACTCACTTTCAGAGAATCTTGCAGGTGTTGCTGAAGATCTGGCTATGGCAGATGATGACCCTTATCTCGCCAATTCTTCCAGATGTTCCTCCTGACAATCCCACGCACAGAACTCCAAAGTTGTTGATCCTCCTCAGGATCCTGTAGCCCTGCACTCCCTTAACCCAGATACACTGGATCTGGTCCTGTGGCGCCCAGTATGCCAACACCAAAATATCTCGCCACAGTGGCTGGTAGCCGCTGATGCTAAAAATAGCCCCAGATGGGGTTATTTCTTCTGGAGATTGATATATACAGTCAATCTCCTCCAGCGCTACCCAGGGATGATGCCGCTCAGGGTTCCCTGCTGTCCTCAGAGGTAATTTGCCACTCTGGGGTACTTCGCAACACTACCCTCAGGGTTGGCTATGGCGAATTAGCCCTGAACTCGCCACTTCCTAACAAGCGCCTTGACAGGCTCAGTGCGCTTGCTCAGAACAAACACTAAACACCTGAATCCACCGCAGAAAGTCTTCTTCCGTGCTGACTCAGTACTGGGGAAGATGATTTGCCATGAAGCTCTCGCCAGTATGTTGCCAGATGAAGAAGATGCCTCAGTGCGCTCAACCCTCAGTGTTCCAATTCCAATCCCGCTCCGATACCAACTGTTATGATCTTGGTTGTCTGACGATTTTTACCGCCACTCACACACAGACAATCTCATACACGCCCATACATGCGTAAGAGAAGGGGGAGAGGAGACAGAGTCCGCACTGCACATAGATGAAAGTAGGCAGCGGAAAACAGCTATGCACAGATGGGGAGAAGACACACAGTGTTTCTCTCTCTCTGACAAACTCCCAACAACCAATCACAAGTAGAACCTGTGAGGAT